CTGCCGCAGGGCGGAGGCGCGTACTTGCGGCGCAGGGAGCGGCTGACGTTCTGCGTCGGGTACCCCAGGAGCTGGGTGACGCGGCTGCCGCGCCCGCTGGCCTTGCACCCGGGCGCCTCGGCGTCCACTCTGGAAAACAACAGGCGGGCGCGTGAGCTGGCTCCTCCACGGCGCGGCGTTGGCACGGCCTGGGCAGAGCTGGGGCTCTTGGCAACCTCTCATCTCCCGCGTCTCCCTCCACCTGCCCCTCACCTCTTTCTCATTCTCTGAGCCTCAACCTACTCTCCTCTATGCACATTCTTGGGCCAGCGACCTTGCAGCGCCCCCATCCCCATCCTTTAGATCCCACTTGTCCTCGAGTGTCCCAGCAGCTCACGGCGGGCAGCCTCAGTTATGCGCCCTCTGTCCCTTTCTAGTGTTTGGCCGGAAGGGAGGCCTTAGTGATCCGGGAGCTGTGTCCCTCCTTTCCTTGACTAAACCTCACTCTGCGCTCTGGCAAAATCTCATCGCCCGTCTGTCCCTCGCTTTTCTTTCCCTCCGTCCCGAAGGCATTGCAATCATTAGCACTTGCTATTCTTGTTCTATTTTTATTTCTAGTTTGCTTCTAAAATAAGTTATTCGCACTATCGATGTTAACTCTTCTTAAATAGGTATGTTGAGGTTCCTGCCGGCGCAATACAAGGGAAGGGTGAAAACGCGGTCCCTGCCCTCCAGGAGCTTACAGTCTAAGCCAGACAGACCGAGGGATGCATAGACGATATGAAGGAAGAAAGGGAAGGCAGGGAGCAGAGGTGGAGACTGAAAGCGGGAGGGGGAAAGACAGAAAGCCATGCGGCGAGTGAGCAGGTCGACATGCTGCAGTCCCAGCACTCCATGGCGATGGTGGGCAGGTTTGGGGTGGGGTTCCCAGCCGGCCGATGACAGACAGGGGTGAAGAGGACAGGGCGCCGGTCCCCCGCCGTGCAGCAGCATGCAGCATGCATCAGGTTTTACCTGATCTCACTAGCCAAGTCGCCACAGGCCCCTCCGCCGACCCCGCCGCCGACCCCGTAGCCGAAGGCACCGCGGGCACCACCAGCCCCGCCGCCTCCGCAGCAGCAGCAGATGAGCCCCCAGATGCCTAGAGCCAGGCAGGCCAACATGAGCAAAGAGCCCAGCACTGCGCCGACGATCATGCCTACACGCTGGGAGTCTGTGGAGAGAAGTGGAGGTAATCAGGCCTCTGTCAGATAGCCCGACACGCCAAGGCAAATGTCTGTGGGAAAGAACCCAAGGCCCTGGGAAGCCCAGTGAGGAAAATGTGGGAAAGGTAAGCGAATCTGTAGATGGCTTCCAGCTGCTCTAGACAAAGGTCTAGCCTGACAGCAAAGGAGAGGAGACAAGCTGAGGTTCCAAAATGGAGCCTAGGTATCTGTAATCCAGCCCTCTCAGCCGGAGGACCCTCAGGGCTGCTTTACCTACCTGAGACCTTCACTTCTACCACGCAGACGCTGTAGCCCACATGGTTGGCCACTGTACACTGATACAGCCCATCATCATCCACATTGACACTTTTCAGCACCAGGTCCCCATTGCCCATGCCTGAAATTGGAAAGAGCATCAGAGGGGTAGTGAGACAGCCAAGTCTGGTCTCTAAGAGCCCTACCCTGCCCAGTCCCTGTGGGATGAAGGACAGAATACCACTCATAAAAAAAAATCAAGGAAGGTGTATACCAGTATTCACAAGCCCACTCCACTCTAAATACTCCCTTGCTGAGAAAGACCCCTGTCTCAGAAAGAAGACAGCATCACCATCAACTCTGTGGCCTCAGGGAAGTACATCCCGAGTCTCAGCTTCTCTAAATGCTAGGAGCCTCACACCCCTCATCCCATCTAATCCTCATGGCAGTTACTGGTAAGTATTCCTTTTCTCATCTGTCACAGAGGTGTTAAGCCACTTGCCTGAGATTTACCACCATCAGCATTCTAGCCAAGATTCAAGCCCAGCTCTTCCTTGGACCATGTTCCCTCAGAATTAACCATGCTGCTTTTGACTGACATCCCATTTATTCCTTCTCCCCCTTTGCTCAGTAGCAACTGCTGGGACACGCCCAAATGAGCAGTCAGTCTCTTGCAGACTTGGTACCACTGACAAGCTGTAGACTGTGGAAGTCCCAGCAGTGTCCCCCACCCCCACTCCTTCCCCTGGTCCTCTGCTTATCTTCACTCTCCCTTGGCTGGGCCCCCTCACCTTGATTGATGGAGCTGTGAAAAGACTCTTGATAAGACAGTTCAGAGTGGAAGCTGTGCTGGGAGTGGTAGGACCCAGCTCGGTAGGGGTGACTGTGGCCACTGATCTTGGCCCACTTGTAGGAGAGGGGCTGAGAGCCCCCATTGGCATAGCACTTCAATACCACATCGTTGCCCTTTGACATGTGGCCTTCAGTCCAGCACATGGGGACCGCAGGACGTGCTGTAACAAGGCAGGAGATTATAAACCCAGACACAGCCAAAGGACAGAGCCAAGCTCACACTTGACTCTGAAGCCTGGGGAAGGGGAGCCCAGAAGAACTAGTCATACCTTGGACAGTGACAATGACCTTCCTCGTGGCCATGGTGGTCTTCTTTACCCGACACTCATAGGTTGCTGTGTCAGATACCTGCAGATTCATGAGGTTGATAGAGGCATCATACTGGCTGGGATCTGAGGCTGCAAAGCGGACCCTCTGCTGCAGATGCGGGAGGTTTCCATGGCCGATCCTCTTGTCTTGATAAGTAAGAAACTGTGCAGAGAAAGAGAGAGCTGAGCCAAGGAGGGTCGTGTGAATCGAGTCAGCAATTCACTGACCTTCTCTAAAACTCAGTTTTCTCAGCTGGAAAAAAAAAAAAAAAGGATAGTGTCAGGCACACTGATCCCTTACAGAATGAGTGAGCGCTAATGAGATGAGATATTCTGGAGAAGTGTAAGTTCAGACAGGGTACTTGATACAGGGTAGAGGGAGGTGGAATCTGTCTGGTTTGATTCTTGGACGGACAGCTCTCATCCATGTTGCCTCACTCCCTGAGAGGTCTTTGAGGAAGTGTGTGTCTCGCTTGCCTTCTTCCTTCTCCCTCAGGATGTTGGCTTTCCCCTTCAGGTTTGACATCACAGAGTACACAGAGTAGAGAGAATCCTGTGTCAAGCACTTACCACATTCTCCCTATGTGCAGGTTCTGAGTTGACTTGCATCCACTCAATGTCCAGACCATTGGGACCATAGTCCTCAGGATCCAGGATGTAGGGGCAGCCTAGCCTCACATTGTCACCTTCTGCCAGATACATAACCTCCTGGCCATCCCCGTTGATCCTTACAGCAGACAACAGTGCTGGTGGGGGGGAAGATAAGAAGAGAAACAATGCTTGAATAGTCTGCCACTCTGCTACCTGTCAGCCAGAACTCAGTGGGGCTTCCATAGGAGGGAGGAGCTGCCTCTCTCTCTCTCTCTCTCTCTCTCTCTCCCTCTCTCTCTCTCTCTGTGTGTGTGTGTGTGTGTGTGTGTGTATGTGTGTATGTGTGTGTCTGTGTCTGTGTCTGTGTGTGAGATGTGTGTGCTAGCATAAACAATACTTAATATTGTTTGTTTATTCGTATGGCAGTCTCTGGGCATCCTTGTAACTTGTGTATATATTCTAGACTTGTGTAGATGTCCCATTGAACACTGTTTCCATACATATAGCTCTAGTGTTATATTTAATACATAATGGTGCATTTGAATGCATGAATATATATGCACAAATGTGCATTATATGTTTAGAGGGTCTTTGCAGATGCACAGATATCCATGCACATAACCATGTAGCATGTCTACCTACATATTTACATGATAGTGTAGGCAATTGTGTGTGCTCACACTCATGAATCACCCAAAGTTGTTAAATGTTCTATTGGAAGAAACAAGCTGTTTAAAAGCCACCTGCATGGGTTGGGTTTGGGCTCTATCTGGGTCAAGTGAAATGGTCCAGCCAGAGAGTATATCCAGGAGAGTGGATAGTATGACTCCTGGTGTCCCTTTCTGTCCTGAAAAACACAAGACTAGGTATCTCTCTCTTCTCTCTCTCTCTCTGTCTCTCTGTGTCTCTCTCTCTCTGTGTGTGGTATATGATAATGTATGCTGATTATATAAGTGTTCTAAGTGACAACCTTTGCCTCACAGTGGGCACTGTAACCTAGAGCCTGGCCTAGATTACATGTGCATGCCTTTGTCTATGGCAGCTTATATGTGTAGAATGAGCCTTGTATGGCACTGTACCATTGTAGACCGTGTTTCCTCCCTGTGTGATTGTGTGGCTCCCACTTTCTTGCTCCCTTTGGGGCCCCTCCTGCTACTGAGTCAGAGCAGGAGCTCAGGGTTTGGAGCCAGGATCAGGAAGCTTAGGGTAAACTCCTCCCCCTCCCTACCCTGAAGCCTCAGGCAAGCTCTAGCCCCAACCGGTTAGACCTAGAAAAGAATAAGGGGGGGAGTAAACCCAGGGTTCCACCCCAAGACACTCAGCTCCCTACCTCCCTGTCTCTGTAACACTCCCTCTACAAGCCCCTCACCAAGCTTCTCTATTGATGTCATTTTGAGTAAGCATGCTCTTTGGAGTTCCAGCCCCAAATCTCAGGGAGCCCCTCCCCACTTCCCCACCTCACCCCCACACAGGTATACACTGTCCTGGGCTAAATGAATAGACACAGGCATGTTCACTCAAGCCCTCAAATGTGAATATATGCCCATACAGTCCCCACTTTCTTACACATGGACTATCGGACACACATTTACAGGCAAACAAAGAAAGAGTACACATTAATCTAAGACACACCCACTGCACGCTCTTGTGACTTCCTGTTCATCCATTCAAGACCAGACATATCCGCAGAAGCCCTGAGCTCTGTGCTCTGTGTGTAGCCTAGCTCTGGAGAAGCTAGTGAGGGCCTTACATTTCACCCAACATCTCAATCATCACCGAAACTGCCCCTCTAAACCATGGCTAACCCACAAACACGCCATAATCCGATAGACTCTGACTTTTCCTCCAGCAGGCAGCCTGGCTTCTGGGACTCTAACGGGACCTAGAGATGCCTCCTCCAGCCTTAGGCCAAGCGAATACCAGCTCATTCCTAAGATAAGGATCCTGATGCCATCTGCCAGATCCTGGGGCGGCAAGTGGCAAGCCAGGGATGAGCCAGAATTCAGCTGAGAGCAAAGGCTCCACCCTGAGGATGAGACACTGGAAACAGCTGACAGCAGGGAGGATTCCCTTTTGCCATACCAGGTCAACCAAACAGAGGGTAAGTATTCAGAGAAAGGGGCTTGGGGAGGAGGGGCAAGCTGGAAAAGAATATCTCCACACCACAGCAGACTGTCTTGCTTCAATTGTCCCAGGTCATGGAGCCTCACCCTACCTCCTCAGCCTCCGTAGATGCTTTCTCAACCTCCTCCCAAGGAGCTTTTTTGTACCTCCTCCCACCCCTTGAGAAGTTGTTCCTGGCATATCACCCTGGTTTATCTTGCTGTGACACTGGGGAAGGATTTCCAGGGAATGTAAAAGAAGAAGGCAGCTTGCTTGCATGGAGGGAAGAGCCAGGATGAGAGTTGGTATAGAAAGGGACCCAGGTAAGACTTTGGGAGAGAGGGACACTGGGAAGTCAAGAGGCTGTCCAAGAAACTGGTGATTGTCCCTTATAAAATCACCAGCGTTGGCCACCCTCTGTGGGGAATATCACCTTGACAAGTGTCTGTCCTCAGCTAAGATATCTATTCTGGATCTTCAAGCTGATTTCAGACTGGAAGGGGACAAGAGAAGAAAACAGGCAGCTCAGAAAGTGCCGGCGCAGGACTCCACACAGCGACCATCTAGCCTGCATACCCTCATACACACAGCACACACAGAGATGCCCCCGGCTCTCCTGGCACAGCCAAAGCTTCCTGAGTAGGCAGTGCCTGAAAGGCCCTCAGTAGAGAAAGGGTGCAGCAGGTATCTTGACAGAAATGCAGCCAGAAACACAGCCATCAATGCATATGTGCACACACAGGCAGGAGTATCCCCATACACAGAAACAGAATGAAACAGCCCCCCTTCTCGCTCTCCCTCCTCCTACCCCTCCCTCTTCCTTCACCTAGACCCCAGGAGGGGTTCCATGCTATTTCCAACCATTTTCAATACTTAATAGAATGTCCCTTGCTGGGACTTGCCCAGTCCCTGGCAGGCAGCCATAGTATCCAAACCTGAGCCCTGCCTTCCAGTAGTGCCCCAGAGAGGTTATGGGTGCTCTGGGAGTTTACTATCCTGTCCACATCCTCAGCCTCATCCCAGAAGAGGCATCACCTGTGGACTCTCAAAGCACATGGGGCATGGACCAGAGGCCCTAGACCTGGGTTCTTGTTGGCTATGATAGAGGCAGCCCAGCATGTGAAATCCTTCCAAGGCAAACAGCTTTCCAGCCCATTGCTCTGGCTTGGGAGAGCTGGCCCTTTCACCAACCCAATGTGGGCCAGGCTCATCCTCAACCCCCATCCTGAGCTGCTACTCACCTGACTCACACCCTACCTGCAACTCCCACAACTAACTCCATATCTCCAAGCAAACCCTGTCTCCATCTCCCAGCATGGAAACATCACAAAGGGCACCTGCACACATATGTGAGCTATGTCAGTTACACCATGAAGATCTATTCCAAGGCCTCTTGCACACAGATGCTGTCCCAAGCCTTATGGCACAGGTTCTCCTGGTGGGGGAGGAGGAAGCTCCCTAAGCAGTATCCAAATCAGTATCAGCAAAATGAAGGTAGCCGGCCACTGCCAGTGCCTCTTAGACCATCTTTGAGGCTGTTCTGTGAGCCCTCACTCGTCCCTGACCTTCTGGCATAATGCTGAGCATCCCTGCCCCTGCCCAGCCCCATACCTGGGCTCAGGCACACGAGTAGTAGATGGAATGCTCCTCGAACTCCCATGTCTCTAGGCTTGATCTTTCCTCGGCCTGAGCTGGGCTCCAGTGGGCTGGTGGTGGTGGTGGGTGGAAAGGGCAGGTGGAGGGAGGGGGAGCAGAGGGCCCAGACACTGCCCGGGGTGGCAGGAAGGTGCAGTGAGTGCCAGGCTGAGGAGCAGCTGGAGTTATTTCTACAGGAGGGAGGGGGCCTGGTCCCCGCCTTGGGGAGGAGCCCAAGTAGCCCTAATTAGCAGGGTGACAGGATGGCCTACCCAGGCATTACCCAGCCCTCACCCAAGCTCTTCCCTGTCCCAAGAGTGCTGCACAGCAGCGACCAGCGGGACATGTAATTAGGCACCTGTTAAACCTCCACTTCCTCCTGACCAAGTCCCCAGGGTGACAGCAGTTGTCCCATTTTACAGCGTCCACAGAGCTCCCCTCACCACTCATTTGTCTTCTGCTTCCCTGGGGGGAAGTGGGAAAGAGGAAGGAGAAGCCAGATTTGGGGAGGAAAGATGGCCAGGATCGGATCTGAAGAGTTAACACTGACCAAAGATACCCCAGAGCCTCACATGCCCTCCCATTGCAGATTTCCAGGTCCCAACCCCTTCAAGCACCCCTTGCTTCCCAGGGGGACCCCTCCAGATCAGGTCTAAAATATAGTGCACCAGAGAAGGGATGCTTCTCCCTTGTTGGGACCTGGGCCTAGAGGAAAAGCCCAGGTAACAGGAGACACTGGAATGTAGCTTTTCTCTGTCCCTTCAAAGAGAGTGGGGCCTCCTGGGCTGAAGAGGGAAAGGATGGGTGTGTGTAAGTACAGGGTCTTCCCTTGCTACTGCTTCTTCTTTGCAAGTTCTGGGACCCCAGAGAGCAGGATGTGCTAAGAAGGGTCTAGATCCCTACCTCCCACAGGAATCTAAATCAGTTCACCAAGACTTAAAGAAGCGGGACAGAGGGGTCAGGGCATTTGGGGGGAGTGAGGGGCTGTGAAGGGTGATGGAATGTTTGAGGTGGGCAGGGCAAGAGGTCATTCATGTGAGTGTATACATCTCTTGAAGGTATGAAGGTGGTAGAAAAGCTAAGCACACCCCCCACCCTCCAGTACGCTTTCTTTGGGATTTCTTGGAATCTTAGCCAGGCCCAGTGTTAACAGGGGCCATAATCCCCTAAGAACAAAGACTCTCAAAAAGCTGGGACTGTCCACTGGGCATCATCAGGGTGACTAAGACATCACAGTTCTAGGCAGTCAGGTTGAAGCTGGAGTGGGAGGGTCTTAGCAAGCAGAAGGGGGGAGGCCAGCCATGGTTGGCTGATCCATGGGCTCACAATAGTTCCTTAACCTTCCCTGGATCCCAGGACTATCCAACAGGAGGCAAATCATAAGAAGTCTCATTCTACAGCTCCTTCAAGGGATCCCAGAGCCTTCTCTGCAACCCACCTGGGCTCAGGAAGGGCAGCAGGGGGAACAGTCTTCAGGAGAGTTATGGGATTCAGGAATCTGCCAGGGCCACCCCACCCGCCTTGGAAGAACAATAAGGAAGCACAAGGAGTCCACTCAGCTCTGTGTCCCAAATCCTTTTACCCAAACCGCCAACAATAACAGGTTGCTCAAGGGCCCACCTGATATACACAGTAGCTATCCTTATTTCCTTATCTATTTTGGGGATTTATGGGGTTGTCCTGAGCCTTCTGGGAAACAGGTAGGGAAGCAGAAGCCCAGAGAAACAAACATTCAGTTCAGTTGCAGCTATTGGCTGAGTAGGGGATAGCCAGGCATCCTGACTCTCAGCCCCTAGTGGTCCAAAAGAGGGCTTAGTAGTCATACAGACCACTACACAGCAGAGGAAAGAGTGGAAGATCAGTGGTGGGTGGAGGGGAAAGCAGGCAGGACCAGGAAGAGAGAGAGACCAAATGGATAGAGCTATGGTTCCATTCACCTGAGGTATAGGGATTCATTTGAGCTCTGGATTTGAGATAATGTGTCGTGATGGCTGCCCCTGGGATTAAATTTGGGGTTGTTTACATTTTTGTATGAGAATGAGGCCAGATCTGAGGTTAGGATTAAAGTTAAGGTCAGTATTAAGGTTAGAACCACAACTAGAGGTACAGCTAGGAGTTCAGGCTGGGCTCTGTGTCATGATAAAGAAACCATTTTTAGTGTCATTTACAGATATGCTTAGGAATACATGTTGAGATAAATGAAAGGCTGGGTTGAAATTGATTTAGGATTTCTTACAAATGATTTTGAATTGAGTTTGGGATTTAAATCAAAAGAGAGTGCAGCTACAGTTAAAACATGGGTGAAAAATATGCTCAAGGGGTTCAAGGCAATCAAAACTGAGATTTTATAATATAGAAAGATACCAACCCTCTCCTGCTAAGTTCAGGTTTGGCTCAGCTCTGGAAACATACTAGAGGTACAGATAGATATACCCGATGTCTGAGGGAGGGATTCAAAAGTGCACGAGCCCATATGAAAGGGGATGAAGCAACTTAATCCCACAACAAATGTACCCTCTGAAGTCCTGCTCTACCACCTGCTCATGGCCTAAGGAAGCTTCCAGATGCAGGAAGCTATGAGTAACCAGTGGAGATCTGTCGCCAAAAGATGGGGCCCATCAGAGGGATTTACTGGGGAAGGACCTGTGGAGTCTCAAAGAGGTTGAGGTTGAGGGGTTGAGAAAGAATAAGGACCTATTAATAGATGCTTCTAGAAAAGTACTTTTGAGGGAACACAGAGGGTTTCCCAGAGGGGGGGGAAAAAAAGGCCAGAGGTAATCTTTGGTCCTTCTTGACCTACTGAAGGCTAATTGTCACTTGCTTGCAATTTGGAGCCTATAAAGGAAGCTGTAGGTCTTCCTGCCCTATGCCACAGGGGTTTGGGGGCAAGGGGTGGGGTAAGGGGACCAGGCCACCAGACCTAGGTTCAGCCTAATGTTTCTACCTTCTGAGACTGGCCTGCAGCCCACTGCCTCTCTGGGTCTCACCCTCAACAAAGGAAGAGGTCCTACTCCCGAGAGGCACCGGCTCGAACTCTTCCCTTGCCTTCCTCGCACCGTGTGTCTCCACCCTAAACTAACTGTTTTCACTCCCCACTTCCCTGTCAAATCCCATAAAGATCCAGGCTGGTCTCAGACAATCTTGGACTTCTGTGCCAGGAGAGAGGGACAACTGCACTCACTTCTGTTCTCGGACAGAAATAAGTCAAAGATGAAGACCTAACAGAGACAGTGAGGAGTGGAAGAAGCCGGAAAGGATTCAGAGACGCTAGAGCCAGCTTCTGAGATGGGCCACAGCCCAACCCCAAGTCCCTTTAGGGTACAGGCAGCCTCCTCATCCTCCAAAGCCACCTTCTCAGCAATTCCACACAAGCACCTAGCCTGACTTGCCCCAGCTCCTTCCCAGGCTCCCTAGGTACAGGCTCAGATCCCCGCTGACTCAGGACTACATTCTGACCCCCTTCTAGACCTCCCTCTCTCACAGCCCCTCTGCCCCCTCTTCCTTGCAGACCTAGAGTTTACCCCAGAACATCTAGGGAAGAGTTACCCAGCAGAGGAAGTCTCTGAAGAGTTTGGGAGCAAGAGTTGTGAACCACCACAGAGAGGAGGATATCATGTAGGACTCAAAGCAAGATGGTCACAGAGAAGTTGAATTCTGGATGTCAAGGGTCTATGGCAGCTGCTGACATCTCACCGAATTTCAGTGAAGGTAATAGGATGAAGGACTACCGGGTGAGGCCAAGGGCTGGGGTTCAGAGATGGTGCTGTGGGCGTGAGAGAATCATTGTAATGCTAACAGGAAGGGTTCCAGTCAGGTGTGAGAAAAGCAGTGAAATCTGTGTGAGCACTTAAGTTTGAAAGTGTGCACAAGGCCGGGGATTGAAATACACATCAAGGCTTCAAGCAATAGCTTGAAACACAAATGACCCATTGATATTCTGTGCCCATCCCTCAGCTCCTGAGTCTCTGTTTCCACTGGCTCACCTCAAAAAGAGGAATGCTGCAAAAAGGAACCTGGATATACCCAAATCTCTCCCATCAAGCAGTATCCTAGGGCTGATGGTAGTTCACACAGTCTTGACTTCTGAAGGAGTGGCCTGACCCACCACTTTGAGCAAGGCTCAAGAGCCTAGAATGGTTGACTGAGTATCATCAATTGAAACATCAGGGGGACAAGCAAAGTTGAGATGTAAAGAGTATGTGTCCTGGTGACAGAGCTGAGGAAGAACTGAGAGCCCTGAAGATACAGGTGTCTTCACCTCACAGAGTCAGCTACATCTCCATCCCTCAGACCTCCATCACTTCCATAACTACTAGACTTCATGCAGAAAGTGAGGAAAAAGCAAATGAGTCTCAACTCCTCCCCCACAGCATCCCTCCCCACTGAGAGACACAGACCAGCAGAGGGATGCTTAGCCTGTGGTGTGATAAGCTGTGCTAATAAAATTCACAAGGTCCTGTTTGGTGGAAATGATGTTTAAACAGAGATTATAAAAGTTATTGATGATGCACCATAGAGAGAACTAGAGGACCCCAGAGGTGACCAGAGTTATGTCTCAGTGCTTGGGAAGTAAGCCAAGGTCCTGCCAGACATAATTCAGAAGAATGAAACCAGGAGTGACAGCTGATGATTATTCTTCGACAGAGGAGATGAGATCCTTGAGAACTAAACCACTTGGAAGCGGCTACTCAAACCCTAAGAGTACTTCACTGGGATCATAGCCAGGTCCTCAGGAGATAGTCTATAGCTCGGATTGATTGGCCTGAACCATGTGTCCCTGTGTGTGCAGACAGATTTTTGTGATAAATTAATCCATGTATCCCAGTGGGACTTTGGCTTTTGGACACAAGGAATAAATTTTCTTTTGCTTCAATACTTGGATTTTTTTGATCACATATCTTCAAGGGGAAGCCATGGTCTCCTCAGCCCCCAGGGTGGTCCCAGGCCTGTCCTGCTTTGAACAACTGCCCAGAGATGGTGGGAAGTGGAGAGAGGCATCAGAAGAAAGCTGATTTCTGGTTCATAGCTTTCCCCACTAAAGCCTGACCAGGCAGGCCTTCACTCTGCCCTCCCTGTTTGTTTCCTGTTGCCTGGATACAGGGATAAAGGACCCAGTTGAAAGAAGGTGGGGCTTCTCTAGCTCTGCCAGGCCTGGCTGGAGAGGGAAGTGTTAACTGTCAGGAGAGCCATAAGCCCTGCCCAAGGGTGAAGAGGAAGCCTCCCTCCTCCCCCAGGTTCCTCCTTCCAACACTTCCTCTGGAAGCCTCTGTAGAGCCCTGTGTTTCCAGAATCATGGGCACTTTCCCACATGAGGCTTGCCATGCAGAGAGAGACAGAAGACTTTGGTCTTTAGAGAGATTCTGCACCTCTGTAGTGCCAAAGGCTGAGGCTAGGGGCTGTGCATTTGATGCAAAAGAAGACACGGGTAGACTAAAAAGATTTCTGAGCAGCAGGGTAGGTAGTAGGTGTCCTGTCTTTGTTGGGGGGAAGGGGTGGAATGCAAGCCAGACTGTTCAGCCATTTGGCTAAGGTTTACAAAGAAGACTGGGACACTGGCAATTCTCGGTGGTCTCTTCTAGTCTTGGTTCTCATGATTTGGTGCTCATTCCCATTGGCTAATGGGACAGGCTTTCTCCAGCAGCCATGTAGGGGGGAAAAAATCACTAACTCTGGTTTCTTCCAGACCCTCCCCTCCCCATCTTATCTCCTGTCATCACCTTACCTCCTCTTTCTGGGAGTCTGAGAAAGTCACTACCTCAGCTCTATCATTGTCCCAGCATCAAAGTCACCAAAGCCATTGAGACAAAAGCCACCCTTTCCAAGAGGGATGTGGGTATGAATGAAGGAGTTTGTACCTCAAGAGGCATAACCCAGCAAGCAGAGACAAAAGCAGGAGCTGTGGACACTAATGTAGATGGGGTGGGACGGGATGGGGGGAACTATTTAAGGGCAGAACAAATCAATCTTGAAATTCAGGCATGCCAGGTAAACTTCACACGATTTCCTGGGATACATCTCAGTTTGTTGAAGGGGATGTGGGTAACTTTTAGACTGAAAGGCACCTGAGGTCTCTAGTGAGCAGAAGCCTTTACCACAGGGTTTCCAAAATTCACAATAATATAGCAGGAGGGGTGTGGTCGAAAGAACAGAAAGTGAGGAACTCTCTGTCCCTAAGCCTCCAAGCCTGTGTGCCAGACTTCTTGTCTGACAGAGGCCACCTTCCCTCACCTCCTAAAATGCAGTGGGCCTTTGAACTCCAAGAGCCCCTTTCATCCGAGCCTATTCAAAATGCTTTTACAGAGACCAATTAATGCACAGCTGTGACCCAAGTCACATAAGGGGATACTGAAGCTTTCAGGAATATCTCAGCACCCCACTGAGTCAGGGACTACCTGGCTAGGCCACCAGAGCCAGCAGCTGAGTCATACCCCACTGCAGCAAGTACAAAATTCAGAGGCTACCCCCAAGCCAGTGCAGAGCATGGTGTAGACGACAGGCTCGGTGTGGGTAGTGGATAGAGCCCAGGCAGGAGCTGGGGGCACATATGCCCAGGAGGCAGCTGCTTGCTGTACCTAAGAGCCCAGCCCCTGAGTTTCCTAGACTGTACCAACCCAGCCTGACATTGCAATGTCTGGAGGATTCCAGAGGCATAAGATGGGTTAAGAAATCCTTAGCAGCTAATACATACCTTTATATAAAGAAATAGTATATAAAGGAATCTGAGCCTGGTGTGGCAGTCAATGCCTTTGATCCCAGCACTCAGGAGGAAGAGGCAATTGGATTTCTTTGAGTTAGAAGCCATCCTGATCTGCATGGTAAGTTCCAGGACAAGCCAGGGCTATGTAAAGAGATGCTATCTCAAAAACAAACAAACAAACAAACAAAAAACCTGCTACAACTATGTTACTAATAGTTTGGGCACTCAAAACAAACAAAAACAACTTTACAGCAAAGACAATACATCTCCTACTTTTCTATACACACACACACACATACAAACACACACACACACACACACACACACACACACACACTCTGCTTTGCTTCTCTGCAGCCTCCCAGATAACCCCAAGGCTGATCTGTGGCTTGGAGGGGAACACAAAGCTACTTGTGTCTCTGAGCATGAAGGCAGTTGAAGCCTCACTAGCTGAAAAAAGCTCAACAAAGCGCCAAGAGCTAACCTTTAGAGGCAAGACTGAGACTGGTTTCCTGAGCCTGAGGGTGCTAGAACCCTCAATACCACACCTTTGTGTTCCCAAATGCACTTCACTACCATCCTGTAAACTCTACTCACCCGACTTCCTGCTGGTTTAACCACTGCTGCCATAGATAGTCCCACCAGCCCCTACTTCAGGCAGGTGACGTTTTTTATGGAACTAGTCCCATTATCAATCATCATTAAGAGGACTAGAAAGGGGCTGGAGATACAGTTTGATAATAGAATGCTTGTCTAGCATATGTGAGGCCCCCATATTAATTCCCCAGCAATTAAATAAAACACACCCCACAAAATACCTTAAATATTGTGGGTAGAAGATTTATACAAGATGACGATATGGAGCAGCCCAATACCCCGACAGCTTTCGGAACTCTCCCACTTAGAAGAACTAGGACCCAGTGGATGAGCCAACTGATTGTGGAGGTTATGGGCATTGTGAAAGGTCTATCATGAATCTTGAAAGAAGAAATCGAATCCCTCCTCCACATCATGGGCCAATACTGATTGGAGGAGCAATCTCTTGTGATTCTCTCTCAAATCATCTTCACATTCTTAGTTGACTAGTCCTTTCTCCTGAGCCAGACCTTTATCCACATGGCCTAGATCTGTGTCACTCTGGGGCCTTGGGCTCTGCAATCCCCACAGACCTGCATTCCACCAGTAACAGCCTGGACAAATGTCAGGCTTGTTTTACAACTGTGAACCTGGCCCAAATTTTCTTATGTAGATTCAGTAGTTGGTAATGGGTATGGAACCTCCTTCCTCTCTGGCTTGCACACCTGATAGGCCTGTTCTTTTCAGCCCTGAGAAGGACAGCAGGTGTAGAACTAGCCAAATATTGGGTACCAAGGATGTTTCTGGCATTCTTGAGAAAGAAAATTCTCTGGAAAAGACGAGGTTTGTTCTGTGGTCCCAGCAGGTTTCACCTGAACAATCAATGGTGACAGTGAGCCAGCTAGAGTGCTTGATGGCACTGCCAGTGCCTTCTCTCCTATCCTGAACTGGGCACCTCATCTTCCAAGCCCTTTAGGGAGGAATGCATAAACTTCTTCAGATAAGAGGGCATTGAGTTAGGGATACCACAAAAGGAAGGTAAGGAAGCCTTTTCCCCATCTGATGGAGCTTCCCACCTACTGTGTGAAAGCTATAGTCTTCCAGCTGGGGACAGTGGAGAAGGTGACTGGGGATCCGAGGAAGAGGAAACACAGGAAGCAGCTTGTGACTCTCCTCCTGCCCTATGAAAAGAAGACTCTTGCCCCAGGCCCTTGTAACCCAGCGTTGTAAACACCCAGGACGCACCAGACAGTTGTCCTCTCCTCCTTGGTACAGGATGCATGGAGGAAGACAAGACTGGGCGCTGAATCTGGGAGATGGAGCAAGCCCCTGGGGATGGGGGAGATGGGCACCGCAGTGGTGGCTTTAGAGAATTATCTCCACCATTGATAGGTGACACTCCAGTTTAAAATGGAAAGCTTGATACCCAGGGGCCTTCTAAAAGTGCTGAGGTCATGAAAGGTATATGAAAGGTTGTGGAGCTGAGGAGAAAATCAGAAGTTCAATGAGAAGCTTCCAGAAAAGGGGACCCAGTCTACTGTAAACACTGAGTACCTCCATGGAACGTGGCATAACAAGTACTTAGCGACTGCCTGAAGAGCAAATGGAAGTAAGTAGGAGTAGACTGGGGCAAGGAAGGACAAGTTAAAAACAGAACTGACTTTTAGGAGGCCTTCTCCTGGAATAAGGTGAACTGAGGATAACAGGACCAAGAGTGAGGGTCAGCTGTATTTGGATAAAGAGCTGGGTCCTGGGTGTACCTCCATGGGAATGGGGCAAATGTCTGTGCTGCAGTACTGGCTTAGTTGAAAGAGTCTAAGCAGGAGAGCCCAGAGCAGAGAGATGGGCTCACACACCGCCCCCTCCTTATGTGTGGTCTGAGCCACAGTAAAGAGCCCAGGATAAGCCAGTCTGAGCTATCCATGCTCCTTCCTCTCCAGCTCCGCCTCATGCAACCTTTTCACCAACCCTCAACAAAAGCCTGTCTTTAATTCGGCCTCAGTGCCCCCAAGTTCCTATGAACTGGGTCCAGGACCTGAAGAAACCCCCACCTGAGTGCCATCTGGCTCCAGACCCTGAGCCTCAAGCTGGCACACACTCGGGTGTAGTTTATTTTGATCCACCTTCGGTGCCTACTGGAATCCCCATCCCCACAGCAGTAAACCTGAGGTGTTCTTCGGAGAATAGAATAGCTTTAATCTGTAACTAGGAAATGTCTAGATTAGCAGCAACTGCGGATGCCCCAAGGACTGGGCAGAACCCATGTCCTCCCAAAGCCCATAGCGTCTCCCGTTCAGTTCACAGAAGTGGTTGGCAGGATGTTGGCTTTGCGCTCAGCTTCGATGCAGTATTTCTCGGGAAGGCCGGTTGCTCTGCAGGTCGGGAAACAAGAGGTATGTATGTATTAATAAGTAAGGTACTTAACAAAGGTGTGACGGGAGAAATCGTGCCCTGAGCCTCCACAACCTGGGGCCCCTGTACCCCCAGCCTGTTCCTACCATCTACCCACCAAAGCATATTCCTGTCAAGGTCCTAACACACTGCCAAGGAGCCATCAGCTGGCCAACAAGGCCCAGTCCCAGAATCTTCTGCTAGAGACCCTTCCAGGACAAGCCTCAGGCCGGAAATCCTCTCACTAAGCTCCTCCTTCGGTGGTCATGGCTTTTCCAGCCTGCTATGCCACCTCTTTGGGTCTTTGGGGACGAGTTGAAGAGCAGAGAAAGAAAGGAACCAGGTGCACCTCAGCTCTTCCAGCTTTTGCTTCTTGATGTCCTCAATGCGTTCACGGCGCTTCTGGGCTTCCTCCTTGAGGCGCCGGCCCTCTTCGAAGGTAGCCAGCCGGTTCTGCACCTGCTTCTGCTGATTCTCACGCACCTGCCGCCGGAGCTCATTGGCATGCTGCAGGCACCCTGTGGCCTTTTTCTCCTGCTCCAGCTTCTCCTTCTCGATCTGCTGTCTCTGAGCCCTGGGGAGGGGACAAAAGGAATGCAATTGGCTGAGCTCCTGGGTTAACCTTCAGTGGCCAAGCTTCTGAGTCTGCAGCCGGCCAACTTCCAGGCCTCAGGGACCAGGCTGAAAGGGCCTAACCATGTGCTTTCCTCTCCAGAAATAGAACCGTTGTCATATATCATAGTGTTGAAATTCTTAATACTTTCTAAGATGTTTTTCATTTTATTCTATGTGTATGGGTGTTTCTCGTGCATGTGTGTTTGGACACCACATCCATGCCTAATGCCCTCAGAGACCAAAGGAGAGCATCGGATCCCCTGGGACTGGAGTTGTGAGCTGCCATGTGGGTGATGGGTATCAATCCTGAATCCACTGGGAGAACAGCCATGCTCTCATCTACTGGGGCATCTCTTCGGCCCTTCAGTATTTTTTAAACAAGAATCCCCACCATCTAATCTTTCACTGGACTCTGTAGATTCTGTAGCGGGGTCCCACAACTGGGCTTTCACCCACAGAGAGCTCCCCTCCTCTCCCTGCTAATGATGCATAAAACTCCTCTCCAGCTGGATCTAAGTTATCTTCTCCCTTTTCCTCTTTGATGATAACGACATCGACAAAACAACGTAAGAATAAAGAAACAGCATCTGTGATGTTAGCCCTTCTTCTGTTGCTGGAAGAAAGCAAGAACTCAGTCTGACATCTCAATATCTCCACAATCCATCTATGAATGTCTTCTATAAGAACATTCTTCTACAAGAATACTACACGACCCTAACTAATGACAGGGCGGACATCTCTAATGGCATCCAGAGACCCTCAAATGAAATGTATTTCATCTAACCTAATGTCAGATTCCTTCTCAATACAATCAAAACCAAATTGTAAAACTATCTTAGGCTGGGATTTCTCACCTGCTTTTCTCCCACAGACTCGCCGATACCAAAATAAAGATCCCCTCCCAACACCAACAACCACTGTCGCTTATTCATCTCCTTACTGTCTTACAAAATCCGCCCCACATGAGGAACACTCTCAGGTCCTAACAGCTCCTCCAACCATGCAAATGTCTCCCCCCCCCCCAAATCACACACCTCTATGGAACCTTTCCCAATATACAGGAAGGGACTGCTGGTCTCCATGCCCCTCTGTAGTTAGACACCAAGTGCCCCACAGCCCATATGGATATGTTGTGGCAGGAGTGTTCTCCCTGCTCGTGGTCACTTCCGTGTGTGTGTGTGTGTGTGTGTGTGTGTGTGTGTGTGTGTGTGTGTGATTAGCCTCCTATTGTTTCACACTCATCTAAGTGAAGGATTAATTGTGGGAAAGGGATAGCTGTATTGGTCACTAGAGAGCTGTTAGGATGGTGGGCAGCTGAAAATCCAAATGGCAGGGACTTAGTTAACCTTCAGTATCGCCTCCACTAGATCACTGACTATCCCCTGGGCATATCTGTGAGGGGGTTTCCAGTGAGGTTTAACTGGGGGTGGGGGGTAAGATGCACTCTGAATTTGGGCAGCGCCATCCTGTGGACTGGGCTCCTGGACTAAGAAATTTTAGTGGAGAAAGAGAGCTGAGCAGCATCACTCTTCCCTGTCTGCCCTCTCCCTTATTTGTCTTGTGTTTTATTTTGTTTTGTTCTGGTTTGGTTTGGTTTCCAATATGGGGCTTCACTGTGTAGCCTTGGGTGTCCTGGAACACACTCTGTAGTCCAAGCTGGCCTTGAACTCACAGACATCTGCCTGCCTCTGCCTCCCGTGTGCTGGGACAAAGGCTTAAACCTCCACAGCTGTCTTTCTGCCTGCTCCTTGACTATGGATGCTATGCAACCAGTCACCTTGCTGCATGGCTTCCCTGCCATAATGGATTGTATCCCCTCAAACCATAAGCCAAAATAAACCCTTCCTTAAATTGCTTTTATTGGATATTTTGTCATGACACTAAAAAAGTAGTTAATACACTGGTCATAGCACAAGGTGAAGGCAATAGCTGTGGTCACTGACTTCATGTTAGAATCACCTATGAGCTTTCAAAAGCTACTTGCCCCCAGAGTGTCTAAACTACAACCTGTTAGGGTGCAAACCTGAATGTCCATATTTTTCGGAAGGTCCTGACTTAGCTCTCTCTGCTCAGTCAACAGCCTAAAAGTTCAAGGCCTTCTACCCAGAAGCAGGAAGTCCACATGCAGGCTGTACTGAAGGTAATGCTTGAGAACTAGGAAAATATGAATTGCTGGCTGCGGCAGAGACACGCTGGGAGTGAAGAAAACCTGTCTTGGAAGCCTTGTGGTTTGGAGACTCTAGGTCTAGATGCAAGCTAGGGTAGCAGGTGAAGTTGGACTTCTCTAAAGTGCCGGACCAGCTTTAATAGCTGGATAGTGTATATGCTTCAGGCAAGCAGAGCAAAGCAGAGTCAAGTGGGTCAGCAGCAAACGTAGGACTTGGAATTCATCCCATTAATATTTATTAGTGTCTGCCAAAGGCACACAGCTGTCCAAGGGCATGGAGGCAAGGAAGACTGGGGGAGACATCTGGAAGGCAATCTGGAGCCCAAAGGCAGGCAGGCTCTGTGGGGGATTTAGGAGGTTGTCTCTTACCAGGTATGCAGTGACCACAGCACAACCCCAGGGGCAGGAAAATTGGGAGAGCCAAAAGGCATCACAGCCAGTGGGAACAAGCAAGGGCAAGATCCTGTGCAACTCCAGGAATCAGGTTCTGGCCTGAAGAGAGATTCTACAGATCTGCTCCGACTCCACTAGGGGTGCAGGAACCCTGGCCTGCCTTGCTCCTGACTGAGACTGTCCCGAGAGGAAGGACCCAGAGCCCAGACCTGAAGATGGCTCAGTGCTAATCAGTCTCACTTTGTCTGTGCATAACATCTACTCCACATTCTCCAAACTTGAATTTTATTTGTCCAGTGGCAGCAGATCTGACTGGGAGAAAACAACAGAGACAGAAGCCCATTGCTCTGAGGCAGGATGAGAAGACTGAGCAGTTTAAGTCCTGGCCCTTTGTGTACATGCTGGGATCATCATTGAACCCAAACAACAAAGAGTAACAATAAGAGCTGCCAAGCACCAGGGAGGTGACGGTAGATGAGGTTCACCCAACTAGGGAATCTCTGAAAGCCTTCCTATGGAGCAGGCAAGAACGGGGCTTGGTGATACCCAGAGTCTTGAACACACACTGCTTGCCAGCTCTGAGTCAAATCAGTAGCAAAGACACCCTCAGAGTTCCGCTCCAGCGACACAACCTAGAGTTACCCTCTGCCTCCCCTGGGTCTCTCCAACTGCACTTTTCCTAGTTTGCTGTGGAGTTGTGGGATCTAGGGGAGGCAGAAAAGACCAGATGCATATACCTTTATTTACATCATTACTGATTCAGGATAAATTAACCCTTAGTTCCTTAAACACTTCCAGATGCTATTTTCCAATTCTCTAATCATAAAATTTTTGGCTCAAATGGCTTTGAAATATTTCAGCCATCTATCTAGTCAGAATGATTGTGGCAACGTGATCAAGATGGATGTACACTTGCCTGTTAACATGGCAGAAAGCTCTTCTCCATCCAACACACACACACAAGCACACGTGCACACACTCGTGCATGCACACAGGCACACAGACGCACACGCACTCGCCAGCCAGGCTTCTCCGGGCCGCTCCTACCGAAGGATCCTCTCGAACTCGTCTCGGTCTCGTTGCACTTGAACGGCCAGCGTGTGTTCCTTGAAAGCCACCTGCTCCAGCCGGCTTTTGCGCAGCTTTTCCTCTGTCTCCATCTTCTTTTGCGCGTTTTCCTTTTCCTTTCGCCGCCATTCTCGATCTGCAACCTCCTGGTTGCGTTTGGCCCGCAAGGCGTCCTGAGAAACCAGGCAGTTGGACAGGGGAGAGGGGAAAGAATGAACTATGAGGGTACAAAAGAAGGACGTAGAGCCACTGACTTAGACTTCAGTTTGCTTCGATGAAGCACCATGGATTCCTCTGGCAGAAAATTACTGCCAAAAGAAATGGAATCCTGACATAGATCTTTGGGGTCAGAATACTTTCTGAGGGGTCACCTTGCCCTGCCTTTAGTCTTTCCCGGTTCTTCAAGCACCTCCAGGCACTCCTAGAATTGCTTCTAATTTTAAAAACTGCTCATGATAGCAATGCCGCATTTTCCTCTGGTGACATATTTCATTAGTCAGTTAAGGCTAAAAATTCTTCTTTGTGTAGCAGTGAAAAACTTTCTCCAGAACCTGAGTGCATACTTCTGCTCACATGCTGCCACCGTGGACAATGGGAACAGGCTCACCCTTCCTTCTCAGGTGGATTTTTCAGAGTACATCCCATCATTAAATGACATTTGTCTGCGGTTAGATTTGGAGGCCACTTTACAGGCTGTCAAGGAATGGCTGCAGGAGTGGGAGGGACAAAGGAAAGCCAAGAGGAAGAGGAAGTGTATACCTGCTCTGCTCGGTAATCCTGGGCCTTCTCCTGCATGGCCCTCAGGCGGGCAATCTCCTTCTCCTTCTCCCTCCGGATTCTTTCCTGCTCAGCCTCAAACTCTGCCTCTCGAGCCTGCCGGGAAGAGAAGACCTCATGATAATCCAGCTTTGCACAATCTCCACAGTGAACATCTCTTCCAGCATCTCCCCTGACCACTTCCTGGCTCTATCTAAGATGGGATGGGGGGGGGGGCGGGACCTTAGCAATGCACAAACATGAGGACCAATTAGCATTTGAAGAAGGGGGTCTTTCTCAGGCAATGTCTTAGAGGGCCCAGGCAGCCTCTCATGAGACAGATGCTGTGGGTGCCGAAATGGATTTGAACACAGGAACCCTGAGCTAGGCTTCTGTACCCCTGTCACACTGAAGGTAATTTCAAGTTGCAAGGACAGCCGAGCCAAGTAACAACTGTGGTTCTCTGGCCTTGTAAAATGCAGCTGGTGGAGGCTGCCTCATTAGCCATCCGTATAGTGCCCCCCAACCCCTGTTGCCATCTCCTGTTGCCCCCGCCACCACCCCTAACCTCAACCAAGTTTCTGTCAATCCCAGAGTGTTTAGCAAACACTTCAAGAGTGAACCATCAAAAATTGTTCCTTTTATCACCTCTGTGAAAGAACAGGAATGAACATTGCCCAAGTTTCTCCACTGCTGCTTCTAGAACAGTCACACGACCACCAGCACCTCTTGTGGCACCATGAAAATTGTCCCTTATCCCTCATTATTCTACCTGCCCAGCCTGACTTCAAGAAGCCCAGTGAATTGCCTGCTTTGGAGTCATGCTCCGCTAGGTCAAGCTGATCCCTCTGCCTCATAGTGCCCTGAATGTCAGGGGATAAAATTCTAGATGCTTCCACAAGCACTCTCTGCCTTTTCTGCAAACACATCATACAGAAGTAGGATGTGTCTACTGTCATTATAGAGCTCCTAATTTGGATCCATACACAAAGAAGTCATTTTTTCTGCCACTTTGAGTATGTCTTCCTGTTTTAACATAAATCCACGTTCACTCTAAACTATATTTAAACTATATTTAAAAGTCTTTTTTTTTTTTTTTGAAGGGGTGGCCCTCCACTCCTCACATACCCCAGTCATTCCATCATTCAACTTTGTCCCAGGATGAGTGAGTCCACACACTGGGGAGCTCTATCCATCCATAGCTGTCTGAAGATATTGCTTCCTGGGAGGCAACTGTTTTTAATATCCAATACCAGATGTCTTATACAAGAGCTTTTACAAATAAATAAATAAATGTATGGAGAAGCTTCTCTTGGTTTCTAGGGTATTCGGACCCTGAGGAGTTCACAGAAACTTCACTTCCACCAAGCGTTTTTTTCTTTTACTGCATGTGACCCTGATGATCCCAACTTTTAAATGAAGGAATTAATGGCACACTGGTTGTGTATGTGTGTGGGGGGCGGGGAGGGTTCTGATGAAGAGGAAAAAGGAGCCAGGCCTATGTATTTTAGAATGAAGACACGGCTGTCTTCTGCTAGAGTCCCATTATTGCTCAGGTCTGTTGTGGACCTGCCACTCCCGGGCACAGGTCCCAGCGTCACACATCAAGCCCCTACCATCTTCTTCCTGGTGAACTCCATCACCGTCTGCTCTGCCAGTTTCTCCTGTGCCAGCCGCTCTGCCTTCTGTCTCTGATTTTCATCATTGATGCGTTTAATTTCAGCTTGCATCTTCAGCTTTTCCTGATGCCTCCGTTCCAGATCCTGCCAGCAAAAGGAAGAGAGCCTCAGAGAAGAGGAAGGCATGACAAAAAGCTGCTGGCATGTTGTTATAGAGAGACACGAAGCAGAGGCAAGTCACGCAGCCATCACCAGCCCAGATTAAAGCTGCCTTTCTTCCTTCCTTCCTTTCTTTTTTTCTTTAATTTTTAAATTTAGATTTGAAACCAGCTTGTTTCACATGTCAATCCCAGTTCCCTCACCCTCCCCTCGTCCCCTATCCCCCCCCCACCCCTCATCCCATCCCCTTTCTGCTCCCCAGGGAGGGTGAGGCCTTCCATGGGGAGTCTTCAAAGTCTGTCATCATTTGGAGCAGGGCCTAGGCCCTCCCCCATGTGTCTAGGCTGAGAGAGTATCCCTCTACGTGGAATGGGCTCCCAAAATCGATTCGTGTACTAGGGATAAATACTGATCCACTATCAGAGGCCAGATAGACTACCCAGGCCTCCTAACTTACACCCAAGTGCAGGGAGATTGGGGTCTATGATTGCCCCTTTGTTCAGGTCAGCTGTTTCTGTGGGTTCTCCAGCCTGGTCTTGACCCCTTTGTTCATCACTCCTCCCTCTCTGCAACTGGATTCCAGGAGTTTGTTTCAGTGTTTAGTTGTGGGTGTCTTAAAGCTGTCTTTCAAGGTCGATCAATAAGCAACTTTGATATCAAATAGCTTTTTTGCAATCTTCATCCAACTCAACTTGGTGATGGCCCCTGACACTGTTTATCTCTCTATGATTTCTGGAAACAGAGGTCTTAAAATTCTCTCCCTCTTGCCATGCTAAAGTTTACCCCTATAACCTCATGAGCTACCACCCTCTGGCTTTCAATTTCCTTCTCTTAAAGAAATGCAAACTCAAAGCAGTGATTATTCACCAGTAATGACTACAAAACTAAAAGCAGAACATTGGTGGCTCTTTAATCCCAGCACTAGGGAGGCAGAGGCAGGGGGATCTCCATGACTTTAAGGCCAGCCTGGTCTACAGAGCAAATTCCAGGCCAGCCAGGACTACACAGAGATACCCTGTCGCAAAAAACAAACAACAAAAAATGTTGTTCAAATTGAATTGTTCCCACTCACTGGGCATTAGCAGAAGCTGTTTCCCAGATCCTTGAAGGCAGGATGAGAAACTGATGTGTGGATGAGAAACTGAGATCCAGCAGTTGATCCAAGGTCCCACAGCCAATAAACTCTTCCTGAATTAACATTTCTGCCCTCTGGAAATCTTACTGGACTGTTTCAGCTTTTGGTTCTTTCTGCTTCTGAGTTTTCTACACTTGAGACTGGTTTCCTACACTTGAGACTGGTTTCCTACCTTTGGGAGGTGAAGGTGATGGCATTCTGTGCCTGCTAGAGACAGGGGAACCTATATCATTCCCCTCCCTCCCCCAACAGCGTGTAGCCCAATGTGAGGAAGACAGAAAATGCCCAATAAACTATGAGTAAACAAAGACCAAAGCAAGTAGTATGTGATTCTGGAGGAGATGGGAGGGTTAGGGTTAGGGTTGGGGGCAGGGGCTTAGACACAGAGCCACAGAAAGCAGAGGAGTGCTAATTGGAATGTTAAGATCTTTTCTACAGAGAAAGCCTCTATTTTTTTTTCCCCACCCCAAGCCTCCAAACTAGGGTATTTTTTTTTTTTTTTTTTTTTTTAAGACAGGGTCCCACTACCCTAACCCTATCTGGCCTAGAACTCCCATAGACCAGGCTGGCCTCGAGCTCACAGAGATCACCTGCCTTTGCCTCAGGAGTGCTGGCATTAAAGGTGTGGGCTGCCACACCCAGCATATTCTTGAGTCACGTGCAGAGACGCTGGAATCTTGTGCAGCTGGCTGCCCATCACCTCCAACAGCTCTCAGGCTCTGCTTCAGACTTCTTCCCACCCACTCACCCAGCTTCCCGCACTGCTTACTGCTTCCGGGCCTCCATTTCTTCAAGAGCTGAACCTCCCCAAAGCCTTGCAGCCCCAGCTTTAGCCTTGATCCACTCAGCCAAGGCCTTTCAGCTGCTACCCAACTTAGGGCTTCCCTGCTCCAAGAAGCTTCCAGACCAGGTCCCCACAGCAGCTCTGTGGGTTGCAGACTTCCCTCACTCTCTCCTGACTCTCACACTACACTCTCTCCTTGTTTCTCTCCTCACACAACTTTTCCCTTCCACCCGTCCGGCTCTCCATCCTGCCCTCCTCGTCTCCATTTCTCCCTTTCCAGCTTTTGCTCACCAGTTTTAGGATTCCCATTGGTAGCCATGGCATTCTTCACACTAACCCTCATAGCTAAGCACAACTGTTACAGCTGATCTAGGACATTTGTATAATCATGTATTTATTTGCTTCACTGCCTGTGTGTTTACTCTATGCTTTGTTGTTTTGGCTAGCTTGTTTGACTTCCAAGGAACCAAAGGGACTTTCCCTGTTTCTTGTCATCAAAGCCCTTCAAAGCAACCCAGAAAAACTCCCTTGACTCTTCTCCATCTTGTTAACAAGGTGGGAAGAGCTGTCCTGCTCCCCGGAGTGCTGACAAGCAACTCTATGTTGAGGTGCAGGGTTCTACCCTAAACTTGCCTAATAATACTTCCTGGAGACTTGGGAGTGTCTTGTGGAAGGACATCCAAAGGACAGTGACACATCAGTGTAATGGTGTTGACTCACTGACTGCTGGAACTTCCCAGCGAGCCCACCAATTCCCACCTCACTCCCTGCATATTTTCCCCATACCTCTTTTTCTTGACCCTTTCCCACACTTCTCCCCTGAGCCAGTATCCTAGCTAGTGTGTGGTCTATCTTCTTGGTCTCCTTTGCAAGTAGTTCACAAGGCTACAAGCCCCCTTTCCCCTCCCCCCCCAGAGCTCTGCAACCTACTCTTCACACTAGTCCTTATACTGTAGGTGTTCTGAGGATCTGCAGATAGGACCCTTAATGGTCCCCAGTCACTCACCAATACCCAATGTACTGGTTGATGATAACTCAATCATCCATACACATGTGGTGGGGGAGGGGGACAAAAATTAAAAGACCATGTGTTCCATGAGTTAAATGGCATCATGAAAAAGAATCAGGTAAAGGAATGTTGTTAGATAAGAGGAATTGTTTCTGGTGTTCTATAGCACAGCAGGATAATTACAGTCAACAATAATTTCAATTGTACATTTGAAAATACTAGAAAATATCCCGAGTGATAGACACACACACACACACACACACACACACACACACACACACACACAAAATGTTGACTATCTGAGGTGATGGATATTCAAGTCACCCTGCTCTGACCATTACATACCCTATATATAGAACTGTCACACCATAGGTCACAAACATGCACAATTGCTAGGTGTCAGTTAAAAATAAAAATTATATTAAAGAAACAAGTGAATCAACAAGTGAGAGAATGTATCTAGATCAAAAGCTTAACCAAACGCCACATGCAAACCTTATTTAGAAACTCATTTGGAAAAAGGAAAATAGCTGAAAATACATTTCTGTATCAATTAAAGAAAGCTGAATATAGGTTAATACTGGATGATGTTATGGGATCTTTGGAGGAGTTTTTGATGGAGGCTGTGTAACTAGGCCTTTGTTCTTCAGAGATTCAGGGTGAAGTACTTAATAGCAAAGTGTTAAGAGATCTAGAGGCAGAAGTAGTTTAACCAAATATTAAGGTAAATTGTTAATCACTAAACCAAAGTGGAGTGCTTATGGATATGGTTACAATTCTTTCAACTTTTGTCTGTGTGTAAAGTTTTCAAAAAAAAAAAAAATGGGTTGGCAAAGGGGTGAGTATGATCAAAGCACATTGTACAAAATTGTCAAAGGACTAATCAAACTTTAACGTTCATTTTCTCAAATGCTTGCTATAGGACCAGTGACATGGCTCGGTGACTAAAATGCTTGCCACACAAGCATGAGGACTCTGAAGACTGGAGGTTCAATCCCCAGAAATCTTGTAAATGCTGAGTCAGTGTGGTGGTCCACTTGTAATTATAGCCTGAGAAGACAGAGAAAGACCACCAGAGCAGACTGGGTAGCAAGAGTAGGCTTGAGTGAGAGCTGCCTCGGTGGATAAGGCAGAAAATTGATAGAAGATGATTCTAGACATCAACCTGGGGCTTCCCACATGCATGTGGGCACACGTGTGTCTGTCACATGCAAAAGCATTCATACCTACAGACATACGTACATATCTCTTTGCTGCATGTTTCATGTCTTGCAACAGATCAAATAAGGCAAATAAAAGAGAGCTTTAAACTTTATAAAGTTTACACAGGTATGCCATCGGGTATTTTGTTCTATTTTGTTTCTGGTTTTTGTTTTGTTTTGTTTTTCTCATTAAATGTTCTTACTCATTTTATCGAAGCTAACAGGGATAAAAGGTTTGGCTTCACAACACAATTAATGACAATGGGATATTGTGTGCTTTGAAAGAGACAACAGCAGGGAGGGGGAAACTAAAGTGCTACTGTTCATCTATGGAGTGTATAATTTCCCTCTGTAACTGAGGAAAAGACTGTAAAACATCCCTCTGTTTACTTGGGCAAAGCATGCAGCCATATATTTCCTTTATGTGTCTGTTCACATTGATATGCCAGTCTCAGACCCCAAGTCCCTGGGAGGCAAGGACAATATTTATCCAAATCACAGCTTATCCCCCAGCATGATGCCATGGCCAAACAAATGTTTCAGACAGCAATTAAGAAGTTGATGATGATGGTGTTGTGCAATGAGTGTGTGCCTTGTCGGAAGAGAATCACTCCATACCCTGAGCCCCAAAATCCTGGAGGGCTTTGCTACTAGTACAGGTGAAACTCAGTGTGGTCTGGTAGCCTGTTACCTGCAAATCCTCCTCCTGGAGCCTTTCCAGATATGCTAGCATCTGCTCCTTCTCCTGTTCACGATGTTCAGCAAGCAGTGATCTCTCCTCTTCATTCTTTTTTATCTGTTCCAAGATGTGCCTTTTTCCCCTGAGAAAAAAACAGGACCAGAGTGGCTCTGAAATCAAAAGTCCAAGTTTCTTCCCTCACTTCTACCCAAATAGCCCCCAAACAGGGAGGTTTCACAAGCATCATTTGACAAGTGTCCATTTGGTGTGCTTATGTTTCCTGCACCCAGGCCAACGTCCTTCCCTTGAGTGTCCTGGAGCAATAAACCCTCAGTTTGCTGTGTTCTAATTTCAGGACATCCCTGTCTTAGATTCCTCTTTTTTATCTGTCTGCCCAGGAGTTACCTTACATAATAACCCACCTCTCCCTTCTAGTATTTAACAAGCTTCTAGAATCCAGCTTTTTCCCCAAGTCGTCTAATGATGTGGGAAGATAGCTTCCTCCCCCAGCTTCACAGAGCTTTGTAGATTTTCAAAGTCCAGGATGTGTAATTCCTTTAGTGTTTCTCCTCTGTTATCTCCCAACCTGACTACCATGCCTACTCTGCTCACTGTCTTTTTGTGTACATACTCACACTGAAGACTCTCGGCTGTTGATAGACAGGGCTCAACCCTGAGCTCCACTCAGCAAAGCCCTCTTTTCAACAATCAATACAGGGAAACTCTACAATCAGTGTTCCCTGCCAAGTGACCCCAGGGTGCTGTAAGTATGTCAGTAAACTTGGAGGCACCTTAGAGACTGTGACATGAGTAAAGTCTGCAGGGATGGGAGAAGACAAGGCAGAGATGTGAATCAAGTAGAAATGTTAAACTCTTATTCAGATACTGGATGCTTCTTATGGCCGAAGACAGAAGGAGGGGCAGGAGAGTTTGCCTGGAAAATGGGTTTGAGCTCAATCATATAAAGATTGGCTCAGGACCCTAGAGCTGCCTAAGGAGGCAGAGTGTTCCTTCATAGGACCTGCTCATAAAGACTTTGAAGATGTGAAGAGGAGTGTGGAGTGGGTGACAGGAGACACTGAGAACGAACATCAAATTGGAGTACACAAAGAAGCACCTACTACAGCCTCATGAATAAGCTTTACAGATTGTGTGTGTTCCTGTGTCGTTCCGCAGGAGATGAGAGACATCAGATCCTCACAACCACGTCTCAGTTCTCCCCTCTTTGCTAGGCTGCCTGGATGTGAAGATACATGAAAACATCCAAAGAATGCCAAACCCAGGTCTTTACATACCGGGTCATCTCTTCCTTCCTCATCCTTTCCCGGTCCTTCTGCCTCTGAAGGGATTTCTGCCGGTCTACTTCCATCATCTCATCCAGCCGTCTCTCCTCTGCTTCCAGTTCCTTTTGTATCTGCCGCTTCTCCAGGATCTGGGCATCCCGTATTGCGTGGCACTTGGCATTCAGAATAATCTAGGGAGTGGGGAAAAGATTGTGGTGCTAGGCTTGGGGGAGATGGTGAGCATTATGAGTGTGTGGAGATTTAGGGGGGGGGGATAAATGAGAGGAGAACACTACTGAATGTGCTGGAGATGTGCAAAATCCATCACAAGTTCAAAGAAAAGGTGCCGTTTTCCCACTCTCTTCTTAACACAGCATAGCTTAAATATTTACTGGGCTCTTAAATTAGGCACTAAGGTTTATTCAAGGAGAGACAACATCACTCAGTATTGTAGAGTTTAAGAGGTAATGGATCAGCCTTCCAAAATATGATGAAAACTATGATGTTCACCTACATAAACACACACAAAATCTCCATAAGACTTTAGCAGTTCCTTCGCAAGTACTCATGAATACCATATTATGCTTAAGGGAACCAAGCAGAAAGCAAACCACTGGATTTTTTAATCAAGAACACAACATGACATAAAAGAAATGAAAAACCATGGTGCCACCATTAAGAACCAGAAAGTAAGAGCTTTGGAGAAATAAAAGCAGGTGCAAGTGAAAAGGATTCACCTAAGAGGTGGAAATCAGAAATGAAGGGGTTGGGGAGTCAACATTTTTCATTTGGTCAATAAGGAATTACAGAACAGAATTGCAAATGAGCCCTTGACCTTTAAGCTCCCTGCTAAAAGAAGTACTCAGGCCCCTTCAAAAAGAATCCTCTAGACTCCACAATCATCCAGAGCCAGACTTGAACTAACAGGATAAAAATAAAAGTGAGGTTCTTATCAATGACAGTTCACAAAAGCTGTCCCATATCTTGGCTTATTTAATACTGTCAGTAATTCTACTAAACAGTGTTGCCATCACTGTTTTATACATGGACTCTTGAGTGAGGCTCAGGGAGAGCAAGTGACTTGCTTGCTCTAATCACCCAGCAAGCAAGGCTGGTCTTCTCCTCCTCCTCCCCTTGGCAGCCCAGCCCACAAGAGTCCCTCACCTTGCCCAGTGTGTGGATAAGAGCAAAGAGGGAGTGCCAGTGAGTCCTCAAATAAAAGGAAGAGATCCACCTTGCTCATGTCCTTGAGCTCCTCTTCCTGCTCCATGCGAAGCTTGTTGGCTCTCTCCAGAAGGTTCTGGGCCCGCTCCTTGGCCTCCTCCTCCAGGTCACTCAGCTTCTTGTTGTTGCTCCAGGCCATTTCCTTCTGCTTCATGATCTTCTTGCGGATTGTCACTGCTTCCTAAGGGACACCAGCCTGGATTGGTGGGGGGTTACTCCCTGGGAACTTGTCTGCCACAGGTAACCTGGGGGATTTCTCCTCAGTCCATCACTGTATCAGAGCAGAGATGTTTCATAGCCTGGCTTTACTGTCTTTCTCCCAGTGGCCCACATATCCCTTGCATATTCCAAGGATTTCCTTCCAGTCTTTGTTGTCCAACATTTCTCATCTAAATGCACATACACACCTCAATCTAGCATGCCTTAACTGAGTCCATCCCCTCTGGTATGAGAAGCTGGCTTCCCCACTACACTCTTCTGTCCTGCCATCACCCATCCACCAAGGACAAGGCTATGAAGGTGAGTTACCAAGATGGCTTTCTTCTCCTTCTTGAAGGCCTGTTCTCTGGCCTCCAACTCTTCTTTGGTGAGGACTTGGGATGCCCATTTGATCCGCTCAAACTCCTCAGGGCTGATGATTAGGGATTCCCCAGAGGGGTCCTCTGTGGGAACACTGACACAGGAATGACCAGCGTTAGGGAGGAGAGCAGGCTCCAAGCTCCCTCACTCTCTTCTCCTCCCCATACTATGCTGAAGCAGAAGAGTCTGCAACTTCATGGACCATTGGAGTGAAGGGTTTCAGGGGAGAAGCAAGTGATGCTGCAGGTTAAAGAAAAAAAAAAGACATTTTACACCTTTCTATCTATAATCTATCTCATATGCTGCATTCTCTGTGTAACTATCCATGACTCTTCCTTCTGTTCATGTATGTCCATCCTGCCCCCAAGCATTTTCCTCTGAGCCCCACCACATTCTGACTCCGTTTTACTGCCCACATCAGGACCAATCGTGCAAGGCCTGTTTCAAACTTCTTTGAGATGAGGCTCTATCTTAACTACATCTGTGGCCTTAATCTCTGACCCAATGCTTGGTACTTAGCACTCAAAATAAAGCTGTTGAATTGAGCTTTAAAAAGAGATTAATCCTGATGCATAAAAAAAGCATTAAGAGAATGCTAGGCAAGGTTGAAATAGATGCTGGTGGGAAATCTAAATATCCCTGCCCATCCAGCCTAGATAGAAGCTTTGAACCCTAAATGTTAATTAAAAACTCTGATCGACAGCTGCTGGAGACATGTCTCTTGAACTCTCCTTGTAGCTACCCAACGCATTCAACAAACCTATAGCTAATTATAATGATTAGAAACAAATAACATACTTTAAGGATGGAGGAGGGAGTAGTTGAGAGGTGGGAATAAAGCTGTTTCTGGGCGAGGCAATTTAACAGGTGCATGGCAACAAGACGCAGATGATCTATGGCAGGAAGTGAAATCTCATCTAATAAAACTAGTGTGGGTTGTCCAGGAAGTAGATTTACATAGTAGCCAAGGTCCTATACTGCACCAAGTGGTATGGCCCCAAACAACTGAGGGTATGAAGTGATCAAGAGCACCCTGGCTCTGTGACAGTGGATCTGAAACACCACCGGTGTGTCTGCAGAGAGACCACTCCAAGAAGTAGCACCCCTCGGCAACTGCCCACATGGGGCTGTCAGGTGGCCAGCCTCAGCTGAACAAAGGCTGTAGTCAAGTCCAGGTCCTGCACTGGGACCCAGCTGTGTCTCTTCAGCTTAAGCCATGAATCAAGGGCTTCAAATTCTGGGAACTTACGTCATTTACCATTCAGCAATGGAGCCAGAGTGGTAGGAATGGGTAGAGAGCATGAAGCACTAAACACAAGTGCTAAACCACCAAAACATGGCACTGGCTCCTGGCACTTAGCTGAGCATACAGCCATAGCAGCATGCTAGCCAGGGAGTAAAACTGAGGTAACCCCAGGGGAGCCTGGAGAGGCCCTGTGAATTTCCTCCGATAGCCATGCAGTCTGGGAAGAAGCCAAAGTGCTAATTAGGCATCTGGTCAGTTTCCCTTTGCTTTGGATCCCTGATGTAGCCAAAAGGAAGTGACTCATCTGGCTCACTTCCCTTCACCCAGTACACCACTGAGGGTTTAGAAGCATTGCCCTCTACCAGTTACTTTCAGAGGCCAAAGCTCATCCTAAGAAAGGGAGGAGAGAGAAACTTTGGAGGGAAGGGCAGTGTGATGGTGGCTATGAAAGGGGAAGGAGAAAGGCCAAGATGGAGAAGAAAGAACTCTGACACAAAACGGGGACATATATTGGTTCTTTTCTTTCACATGTAGAATTTAGGGGTGCGTGCGTGCATACGTGCATGCGTGCATATGTATGTATGTGAGAGAGAGAGAGAGAGAGAGAGAGAGAGAGAGAGAGAGAGAGAGGCATCATGGAAACAGAGGACTGTAAGAGGGAGGAAGAGATTTAAGTAGGAGAAGGGAACTATGGAGCATATTGGAATATATGTGTCATGATAGCAGACAGGAACTATTTGGAGGAAGAACGGGACCATGGAGAAGGGGAGAGGGAGGACAGGGAAGGCACTCGGGAAAGGACAGACAAGAACAAAGTATATAGATGTAAGAAAACGTCACAATGAAACCCACTTCCATGTATGTTAACAACAACAACAACAACAACAAAAAGATTTTTTAGACAATCTATACAGGCAAACAGAGCAAAAAACACAAAAGGAAAAGAGGAAAGGCGTGAACAGGAAAGCCGTTGGAATTGGGATGCCTGGATAGACTCTACCGGTTTTCCCATCACCATGCACAGAGGCAGTGGTGGCTGAGCCAGGAACCTGGGACTAAGCCGTGGGGACTCACATGAGTTCTCGAACCATGTCTCGGGTGATGAGCTGGATTGTCTCTGGCTTGTGGTCCAAGCCCAGAGCAGTGAGAGTTTTCCGGACAGCATGTTTATCTCGGAGCAGCACGATAGGGCTGTCACTCTTGCCCTGGGGCGGAGGCTATGAGATCAGATAGGAAGACTTAGAAGCCAGTCAGTCACTCTACTTCCCACTGATCCATTCTAATGTCAGGCATAGCTTCCCTGGGGCTTCCACCCCACTCAGCCGCAGCCGTGGGAGGTGGGGGGAACTTCTCTAGCATAGACTGCTGAACACTCAAGAGTGGCTAGGGCACGGTAGAGCCTCTTATTCTTGGGCAGACATTCCTCCTAAGGATGCCAGAGACTGTGCCAAGGGGTGCAGAGGAGAGTGGATGACAGTGTATATCTATCCCTATGTTAAAACCTTTAGGAATGAAAATTAAAATGTTAGTGTTTAGGTTGTCTCTCCATGAACATTTCTGGTCTTGTGAAATTCTTGGACCACACTGTGAATTTGAAGCAATACATGTTACAAGTTAATCTGCCCTTTAGATTTATAATTTGTAATCCCTTCTAATGATTAATGGTTTTTTTAAAAGCCATATTGAGGGAGTTAGACACAGCTAAGTGGCCTAACAGGACCCTGACTTTAAAACTAAAGTGTTTGGGCCAAGCATGGAGCAGAGGCAGGAGAGGAGGAATGCTAGTTTGAAGCCAGCCTAGGCTATGCAGCAAGACTCTCAGCAAAACAATTGTGGTTGAGGAGGTCACCGAAGGAGGATTCAGCAAAATGAACACAGAGCAGGTGTGTGATCTTTTTCAGACTTTTTTTCTAACTGTGAAAAGAGTTATCAAGAAGATACAACCACAGGTTTCAGGGAATTTCTAAACACGGAGAAATGTAGGTAAATGCAGTAACTGACACCTGTTTGGGGGGGTGGGCGTGGCTCTGACGAGTTCACTTTGCACCTTCCCCTGAGCACTGCTGCCACCTGCCGTTCATCTCTGCTTCCGGAAGGTCCCGACTCAGTCATGCCACAGGCCACTTCTGCCCCCTACCGCCAACTTCCTAGACTCTTATATACCCACAAGGCCCAGGGCACAACGAATCATGGAACACTTGGCCATTTCCCACCCTCCTTTTGACTAGAAATTTTCTACTCTAAGTGTAATTATGAAGTCGCACCCTTTTGATGCTTGCCTTTACCGGTGGGGAAAACGCTGCACAGGGGGAGATCTTCCGAGAGACCCTCTAGAAAGCCGGTTTCCACGCACATTGAGACCAATAAAGGGAAGAAACAGACACCAGCTCTCCATTCCCCAGCCCACCTATACCTCCAAAGTGTCACCTCTTTCTCCTCTCTGCTCTTCCTCTCTCTTAATCCCTCCCTGCTTGGCTCTCCAAGTCTCCCTCTTTTTTTTTTTTTTTTCTTTTTTCCTCTTTCTTATCTGCCACCACAGACACCAAAATTGTTTCCAACAACTCGCCACCTCTCCTTTTTTGCACTCCTGGAATTGTCATTGTCCTAACCTGGGTCAGTCTTGCTTGTCTCCCCAAGCTAAGCAATTGTTTTATTTGAGCACCCGAGGTCAAAATGAGATGGCTGTGCTTTTTTGCGTGCTGATGCTGTGAAGAAATGGGAATTTTCAGGGGAGAGGAACCAGGTACCCCTGTTTTAGAACACACAAGATCCCGGGGGGGGGGGGCGTGGCGTACAGCTAGGGCCTCGGAACTTTGGTGTGAAATCTCAGTAATGTGACTAGTGCAAGTTTCGTCCTAAGCAATGCTGGTCTAGGTCATTGCTATCTAGGAGTGGCTTCCTGTGGAGGTGGGGGGGGTCGCTGATGATTAGTTAGTTACCTTGACACCTCCGAAAAGGCTCTCATCTACCTCCGAGTTCATGGCTTTAGTACGATAGCGAGTCCTGTTCCGTGACCGGTTGGAAGCGGTGGAAGCAGAGCTTGAGGCATCCCCTGTGCTTAGTGGCTGCAGGAAGAGACAAAAAAAGTATTAGACGTCGGTGTCCAGCGACTTCCAGACCATGGGCAGCGAACATCTCTCTAGACTATGCTGAGAGCTGGGAGAGTGATCACTCAGGGAAAACGTCTTGCAGGGGCACAACATCCCCAAGGGGTGGGGGAACCTCTTGACAAAGCACACTAGCTCTACAAAAGAGAATTTCTGTAGTCTTGGGAGCTGATAAAGTCAAGTCAGCCACAAGGTACAGATGAAAGGATGGAGAAAAAGATGACAAGAGGAATGGAGAAATGTCATACCCCATTGCGTGCCCAGTCATGGTTTCCCACAAGATTGGCCTCGAGGAACCAGCTGCTCCTGTCCTCTTCACTTTGTCAGCCCAGCCCTAGGCCCCCTTCGCTAAGGACATACCACAAAAGGAAATAAAAGATGTAGAGACTCATTTGGGTCACAGCTCAGCATGTGATGACTGACAAACTTTAGGTAGTGGATGAGCAACGATTACCCGCTACAATCAGACAAGATTAACCAAAGTGTAATATACACTGTGCCAATAGCTTCCTATGTTTGGCAAATGCTCCCCTCTAACAACTATGAGAGACAAGGCTCTTTCCCAACAACAAAAGCTGAAAACAACATGTGTTTGCCTTCCTAGTCAAGCAGGGGATCTAAGCTGAGCCAATAAGATGCCTGAGACCTGACAGCGACTAGAGAGCTGGTGATGCAAGACATAGAACAAGGAAAGCCTTTCTGACACGGATGGCAAGAGCAGCCACACTCGGCATCTGGGACAACACTGATAAGGGTACCACCAGCATGCAAAGCCAGCATTGCTGGGGAGCGTGTGCCAGACCAGCTCTCTGCTTGGGTTTTGGCCTTTGTTTCAGCTGAAGAGGCACCCTCTGTTCCTACTTTCCAAACCTTGCTTCCCTGCTGGTACAAAATCAGTGGGCTTTCCTAAATCCTCTCAGGGTGTTCCATCCTACTTAAATGACAGTTCTGGTTCTGCTGCTTACAACACAACCCAGCTAGTCACAACCTCTGGTCCCAGGAGTCACTTCAGGTTCAGCTTCAGCTTGACGCCACAGTAGATATCTACATCCAGGAAGCCATTTCTGCAAGGACTTTTGGATAACGGTAGCCTTAATCTAAAGCTGATTCATACTTGACTTTGGAAGAGTCCACACCCGCCTCCACAAAGCTCAATGAGCTGAGATATCTTGGGGAAATGGTCTAGACACACTGGGTCCCTCCAAGTCTGGGAATCAGCAGCCACAGTGTGGGGGTGGGGGCGCAAACAGGCGTGGACTTTGCATTCCAGGTCACTAAACACTGGCTGTGTTTTACAAGCTCTCGGTGATCTGCCCTAACCAACAAGACCTCCTCCCAGCCCCTCCCCTGCCCCTGCACCTGTGTCAGGGTTTTTACACCAAACTGGGCTATGGTCCCTCAGCTGGCTCTCTACCAAGCACTGGGAACTGCTGCTTGGCACAGCCAGAAGAGGCTCACTGAGGGAGTCAACCCCCCCCCCTTTGTGTCTTCAGCCAGCCCCAAGACAGCAGAGCAGACAAGCCTGGGCTTATAAAAGGGTAAATATGGCAGCCCCTGTGGTGCCTCTGGAGGTTGTCATATGGGGTGGGGGGCACTGTGGCAACCACTCCCCTGTCCTTTGAAAATAGCCTAAGAGAAAATGAACAGAAACTTCAGTAGACAGGATTGAGGCTAAACATGAGGGTGGGGTAGACAAAGGTGGAAGGGTAACAAGGGGCAGAGTTTGAGTTCTCTGTGTGATTCAGGGGAAAAGTGCAGGGCCTGCTAGGTGCATAGTAGGAACCCAACTTACAGGCATGTGATATAAAACAAGGAATGAAATTAAACAAAGTGATCTCTCAAGGAGTCTAGACCAAACCGAGATGGATGTCTCTGGGAAATACATGTCTGACTCCAAGTCACTCCCCCATTCCACATTTTCCAGATCACCTATGCGGTCTGCACTTTGGATAATAACATATACGACAGTGCTTAGGAGTACAGATGGAAAGTATCATTATTGTTTTCGCATCTGTTTTCCTGTTTCTTTTCAAGGGCTCCTTGTGTGTGGCATTGTGCACCAGACTATAGGTCCCTCAAGGCAGAGACTGTCTTCTCTTTTCCTGTGTCCTTGGTACCCAGGTTGGAGGAAGTCACTGCAGGAAATAATCCACTGCCTGAACCTAGAAGTTGGAACAGAGGAAGGAAAGCAAATAACCACAGAAAAATAGCCACTGAGCAGGCCAGGGGGAAGCTATGAGCATTAGTGTTGGTATCTGAGAAAACCTCATTTGAGAGCCGCTGACTTTGAAGCCGCAAGCCTTACCCTAGGGCTAGAATAACCAATTTTGCCAAGAGTAACAAGAAGAACTAGGGAGGTCACTGTATAAACACGCTAGAAAAAAAATGAAGAACCAAGCAGAAATGGAAAGTTGGATCCCTCTGGATCAGAGACAATAGCCAAGTGGTCTTCTTACGAGGTTAAGGGCTGGTTTCATTTCTTGCGTGACCAAATAAATATCCCCACAACGCTGAGCAGTAGCTAGCCAGAAGCTGCCTGCCTCTGCTTGGAAGGAGACAGTGTTGGAAGGAAAAGTGGCTTGCTCCAGCTACCAACAGTTGAGGAGGCCAAGGGCAATGGAGAGACAATCAAATGACACTACAACCAAAGGGGATCACCATTGCTACACTCCAGAGGGTCCCTAAAAGCTGGGAACTTGAATATTTATTTCTTTCATAATTAACCAGCTTCTTCTGAAATCCACCAAACCCCACAAAAGCTAGGCAGCCTCTAAGCCTAAAGTATGTCCACAAATACAACCCAATTACCCCCTTAGCCACCCAGGTTGCCAGACAAGCACGCAAGCCTTGCATTAATATGTTTATCTTGGTGACCCAGCTGCCCCTTCTCTTAAATTCCATCTCATCCCATTGGCATGAGAATCCATTCTAAACAAGGTTGCTCTAATAGAGATGCTGAGGCAGAAAGGTTAAGTCAAATGGATAGAGATGAAATAGGGAGAGCTCGATAATATACAAAGTTATTAAGGAAAGGTGTCTCTTTCAATAGGAGAGGGAAGAGGATGTGACGAATGGGGCAGGGGAGAAACATATTGACAAGACACATATTCTAAGGCATGCACAAGCACTCCTATAGAAGTATTGGTGGAGAGAGCTGGCGTAATTGCAAAATGCTTGTTGCACAAAAGTGATGACCTGAGTTTGGATCTCTGGCATTCACATAAAAGCATAGTGGTACCCATCTGTGATTTATCCCCACACTCCTGAATTTCAGGTGAATATTACCATCTGAAGCTGTTCCTCACATTGAGCAACTTTCTGCAATGAATAGATAACTATTTTATGACCAAGAAACATAATAAATTCATGATAATAGCATAATAACAATAAACTCTTGTTGAAAACAAAGTATAACTGTATGGGGCTGGTATCTGACTCTGAAGGCAAGACAATACAGCCCCTAAAAACAACTTCAATTTTATTTATATTGATGGCAGGATATAGGATACTTGGTTTAAATTCAACAAGATAATGCTAGCAGGGACCGGAATAGGTTGATGTGGAGTTTTCCCTGACGTAAGTCCAACACCTGTCAATTGAACAAAGACAAAGGCATGTTCCTTCTTAGATGCACTTCCTACTCTGGGAGCTAGTTCCTCTTACACACAGATTCAACACAGGTCCACCATCAGACCTCAGATTCTTGGCCTTTTCCATAGACTTGGCTACTAAGAAAGGAGAGATCCCACACATTAGGTCCCTGGCCTTTTACTCTGAGACATCCAGCTGGTTGTCCTCTTTCTTTAAGTGGACGAGACTGCCCATCTGTGGCAGGTCACCTATCATTGCAGCAGAGTTGGTACTGAGGCTCACACTCCTGCCTCTGGAAGATGATATTAATAATTTTCTTTTGAAGTGATTAATAGCCTGTCTATGATCCTCTATCTTCTCATTCCTCCATGCTCTCAACAAAGCTTGTGAGTAGCACTATAGACATGCATGCACACACATGCACACGCATGCACATGCACACCTGGCCTGCTGGGGATTACTCAAACCCACTCCCTTTCCAACATGTCTATATACCCATTCCTGTCCAAAGGATTCCATAAGGCTTGAGTCACTCAGCCAGACGCTTGTCTTGAGTGGTCTTTGGGTGGGAATCTCTGAGCAGGGAATTATGCAGCCCACAAGTCTAGTGAGTCCAGCTGCAATTTACTGATTCATGAGCATTTGGGAAACAGATACTTTTAAAGCAGGAGAGATGAGCTGACATCTACTGCCTGTCCTTAGATGCCATGCGTGATGCCAGGTCTTTACACACACACACACACACACACACACACACACACACGCACGCACACGCACACGCACACACACACACTGCTATGCTGAAGGAAGACAATTAAATGACATGTACAACCAAAGGGGATCCCCATCACTACATTCCAGAGGGTCCCCAAAAGTTGGGAACTTGAATACTTATTTCTTTCATAATTAACCAGCTTCTTCTGAAATCCACTAACCCCCCCCAAAAAAAAAGCTAGGCAGCCTCTGAGCCTAACGTGTGCCCACAAATACAATCCAATTACCCCCTTAGCCACCCAGGTTGCCAGACATTCTAAGTAAGTTCCAGTAACTGGATGCTCCAACACCTGTCCGAAGCCTCCCCGGCCTCTCAGAGCCAACATGCTCAGGTCCAGGCTTTCATGGCTCCTACCAGGTCTTTCTTATCCCTTCAATCTATGACCATGGCAGTCCACCCCAGCTCAAGGAATCCCAGGACTTATCCCAATTATCCCCTAGGACTTTGTAAACCTGGGGCCCTCCTCATTCATTCATTCATCCATCCATCCACTCATTCATCCACAAATGCTATGGTGTGCCCACCGAGTGATCCTAAATCATTCCTACACAAGTGAGAACCGATGCTCTTCTGGAACATTAGGTGCCTTTCCCATGATCACCCTGATGGTTAACCGCATAGAGGGTCATCAGGCCTTCCTACCGGTGCTTTTCTCCACATCACACAACCCAAGAGGACCCAGCCCAATGGGGTGGGGAAAGGTGCAGCACATCCCCCAATCAGCCCTACCAGAGGTTGCCAATCCCTACTAAGTCTTTTGAATCTGCCTCTGGACTTCTTTTGCTCCATTTTCACGGTGGTCCCGTCCTCAGTCCCAGAACTTCCTATCCTCCCCAGCTTCTCAGAGACAACCCCAGCTTTCCCCCTCAGAACCCCAGCCCACTTCAGGACTCAGGAACTATAGCTACCCAGAGCCTCACCATCTCTGCCACCGCTTCAGCTGCAGGCGCCTCCACCGGCTCCCCGGGAGCTGACGCGTTACCGTAGCAACCAAGAACTCGTAGTCAGCGTTTTAGCCCCGCCCATGCCCCGCCCTCCTAATTCCTGGGGCAGCCACAAGGTAGTTTAGAAGCAGGAACCCTTCCTTCCCTCGAGCTTTTCCCACCCTACGGTAGAGCAGAACAAAGCTCTTAAAGGTTGAACCCCTTGGATACGCCCCTGACGTCCATTTTTGCTTTGATTCAGTTTACGCCAGGCTCAAACTTTGAAGGGCCTACTTTCCATGAGCTCCGGAAGGCTCAACTATCAAGGAGCCCAAGAGCCAGGCCCAGGATCTTGATTTTTTCCCTCACAGACCCTTCCACCCAACCTAGGTTACCATGGTTACTGCTACGGGTTTCCAGGAGGAACTAAACCAAACCTGATGAGAGTTCAGGCTGCAGAGATGCAAGCAGCATTAAAACCAAACAAATTTCCCAGTAGGGGGAAGTCTGACTCGACCAAAGAATGAACTAGCCCTGAAGACGGGTATATAGTCTCACAAGATCTGAAATCTGGGGGGGAGTTTATTGAAAATACAGGGAGTCTGAGACAGTTCAAAGCCAGCCTGGGCAGCATAGCAAGCTCCATCTCAATAAATAAGTAAATAAACTAAAAATCTAAGTCCTACCCAAACGACGTCAAAAATCCATGGCTCCAGCTTAGGGGACCTGTGAATGTTTTCAGGAGCTTTAAGCTTCACCCACTTTGGCTTTGTTCTGCTGTGCCTCCACCTGCAGAACTGAACCGAACACACCCGGGTTCCTGCATGCCCCACAACTCACAAAACCTCCCATCAACCGGGTGGGGTGTTTTGTTTTGTTGTTTTTTCTTTCTTGGAGGTTTATTTTCTGAGCTCTTGGTCTCTCCAAAAACCTCAATCTCCCTCCAAACTCTGACCCTTATTCCAACCTAATCATTGAAGGCAGGTGACAAGCTCTGGGGAAATAGAGGAAGGGAGACATGGTTACCTGCCCACCCCCACACCACTACCTCCACCACCACGGCCTCTGCTGCTGCTGTTGCTACTTAATCCAAGAAGATGCAGTGTTCATTCCCTGGATTCCTCCACTCTTGCTTCCCTTGAAATCCGATTATTAACCACACCTCCCTGAGGCAGATATTAGCCCCATAACCAAAGAGAAAGTCCAGGAGAGGCAACTGCAAAGCAAAGCATGTGTTCTCACAACTCAGACTGCCACACTAAAGGAAGAGTGTAAAGGGGGGATGGAGGGATGGGTGGAGGCTGGCATGAGGCACTTAAGGCTCATAGCAAAGCCCTGAGCAATATGTCTGCTTAGTCCCGTATTTGTGCAATGTCAGTTGATTTAAAGAAGCATTTATTCTGGATTTAGTGACACATGTTGGTGTGGTTTCCATCACTTGTGTGTCCAGTTAAGACTCTCCTAGAATAGGAAAACTTCCTGGAATGCTCCTCCTACCAGACTACTAAGTCAACTCACTGGACATCCAGGCAGCCACTTAACAGTCATGTGGCTCCATGTCTGTGTTGTGATGTCTGATGCCTACAGAATCCGAAAATGGAGGGGAAACAAGGCTGGGAATGAACGAAGCTGGAAACCAGAGCCAGAAAATACTTCTCTAACCATCAGTACTAAAGAGCTGTAAGTGGGCATGAGAAGCTGGATCGCTGAAAAAAACGTGTGTCATACAAGCCTGAAGACCAGAATTCAGATCCCCAAAACCCACATAAATGCCTGATGGGAATGCAGGTATGACAGTCCCTAATCCCAGGAGGCAGAGATGGATGGGGTCCCAGAACAATCCAGCCTCCTAGATTAACAGAATCAGCAAACTCTGAGCTTCAGTGAGAGTCTTTACTTCAATATGTAAGGTGGGAAGCAATTGAGGAGGACACTCAACACCAACCTTCAGTCTCCCCATGCATGCACACTCATGCAGTGTATCTGAACACATATGCAAGCACACATACAACATGCATACACACCATGCATACACATACAAGTAAGACTAGGACAAAATGTTAAGTGTGGATTCCATTGATATTAATGCTTAGTAAAAACTGAAGTTCTTCGGGTCCAGAAAGAGACTCAACATGCAACACACAAAGTTACATGTACATCAGATGTTATGTCAGAGAAAAGCTGCCCCCTGGGCACCCAAACTGGCTGGCTACTTGCATTTCTCTTTCGCTGATGTTTTCTCTTTGCATTTGTTTGTTATAGCACCTGAAATATACAAGTTACCCTAGTTTTCCCAAGCACAATGAGGCAATCTTCTCATTTTAAAACTGTCCAAGCCCATGTGTTAGTTTCTCACTACTGCTGTAACAAATCACCATGAACTCAATAGCCTAAATAAACACGAATTTATTAGAGCTTTAAAGTTTGATATGGGTTTCACTAGGCTAAAATCGAAGAATCAGCCTGGAAGCATTCTTCCTAGAGGTTCTGGTGTTTCTAAGGCTGTCCCTTCTTCTTGGCCCATGACCCCTCCCACTATCCACAAAGGCAACAGTGTGGACCATCTTGGGCAGTTCTGCAATAGTCACATCTCCCTCTGCTGGGAAAGGCCCTCTGATTTTTCAGGACTCTGCCTGCCCAGAACATTGAAGATCACCTCCCATCTTGGGCTCCCTAATTTAGTCATTTCCAAAAAGCCGCCTTTGCCATGCACAGTAAATATTCACAAGTTCTGGGGATAAAGAGGTAGACATCTGGGCTGTGTGTTGAAAGGACTCTGTGACATATTTTTGAACACTTTTCTTATCTATCATTTTTATGTACATGAGTACATGTACATGTACAATGATTAAATTGTTCATGCAACACATGTCTGCAGTACCCATGGGGGCCAGAAGATGGCATTGGATCCACGGAACTGAAGTTAACAGAGAGTTATGATCTGTCCTGTGGGTGCTGGGGAGCAAACCTGGGTCCTCAGGAAGAACACACCCTCCACACCCTGCAATATATTTCCAAAGATTTGAAAAATAAAATAAAATTTATTGAATATGCTGCTTTAAACTCCGTTTTAACTTATGTTTTTATTTGAAGCTTCTATTATTGAAAATATTTTTTCATACAATGCATTCTGACCACAGTTACCCTCATCTCCTCCTAGATCCTCCTCATCTCCCCACCCAACTTTCCAATTCCACACCTTCTTTCTTTTTCTTTAGGAAAGAAATAAACTTGATTAATAAAGAAAGAAAAGGAAGAAAAAACTCCATAAGAAACACATACACAAGCAGACACACACAAACACACACCAAAAATAAACAAACAAATAAATAACAAAAATCAGCCAGGAGATAGTAAGTTTGAGGCCATCCTCGTCTACAAAGAGAGTTCCAGAGTTCCAGAACAGCCAGGATTGTTGCACAGAGAAACCCTGCCTCAAAAAAAAAAAAAAAAAAAAAAAAAACCCAGAAACCATAATATATATAATATATAAGCAAAAGACCAGTAAGGAAGTAAAATGTCTAAACCAAGCAACATGAGAGCAAAATGAAAAAATGCCATTGAGTTCATTTTGTGTTGGCCATCTACTATCTACTGATAAACATGGAGTCTGTATACCCAATGAAACTCCACTGGAGAAACTAACTGTTCCTTTACCAGTGTCAACTAGAGATAGCTTCTTGGTTAAGGATGTGAGCTCATGTTCACTTCCTCCACTTGACTTAGACCTGTACAGGCCCTGTATTTACTGCCACGGCCTTCTGGGTCCTGTTGTGTCTGGAAGATGCTGTTTCCTTGGTGTGAGTTCATATGTGTGTCATTCCTGTTGTGTCCAGAAGACACTGTTCCTTGGTGTCATCCATCCCCTCTGGCTCTTACAATCTTTCAGCCTCCTCTTCTGCATAGTTCCCTGTGCCCTAAAAGGATGACATTCCATTTTAGACTGATATTTGTGTTCATGGGATGGAAAGGGGAGGAGACGGATGAGTGTGATTCCCCTGTCTCTGCCTTCCATCTCCATGTAAGAGCACCATGAATACCACATGGGCCGCGACATCCAGGGATCCAGCTCAGGTTGGTCAAGCTTTTTCAGCTAGTATTTTTACCCACTGAGCAATCTCCTTAAACAGAGAATCAAACCCAGGGCCTCAGGCATCCCAGGAAAATGCTCTACCACTGACCTAAATCCCCAGCTTCAAGTCAAATTTAAAAATTTTCTGATTTGTGTACATATGGACAATATATTTTCTTCTTACACCTTTAAGTGTGTATATTTGAAAGACATAAAGTTAAAATGGACAGTTCATGAAACAGAAATAAATAAATAAATAAATAAATAAATAAAATCAAGCCCTGAAATCAGTAGGAATTACTTTGAAATTGAGAAGCAAATTAAAACAATTTTTTAAATTATACCACGAAAAGAGTAATTCCAAAAGAAGAACAGATGAAATTTGAAGGCTAAATTTAGGGTCTGTAGTAATCCACTTACCAAGAGGAGGAAATGATGCAAACATTGGGAGAATGTTAATTCCTTGTTGATTTAATATAAAGCACTGGCATTGATAGAGAATGCATGAAACCCATATTAGCACAACAAGAGGAGACCAGCGACAATCTGATTAATGAGTGTCATCAATTCAAAGGACACTTAAGATTAATTACTGAACAATGTTCTGAAATCCTACGACTCCTATAAGAAAGAAAGTTTGTGTAAATTCCCCAAATTTGACAACAACAACAAAAACCAACATGATGTTGCCTACAACAAACTGTGAAGTGAGATGTTCTAGTCTATCAATAATAACAAAAATACTGATCAATCCACATCCCAGGAAAGACTGGGTTGTCTTGCTCAGGCTATAAAATCATGATCATGTCCAGAGACAAAGAGGTGGAGGTGAAAAGCCACTCACAAAGCATATTACTCCTGGGGTGGAGAATTTTTGTGACATTTTCCAGAGTGCTTAAAGCTTATAATTATTCCAGCTTTGTTTATTATTCCAAGTGTTTCTGTATTTAATTTTGGATTAATAATTTCAGATTGCTTATCTCAATTGGAGCTCCCAAAA